CCTCCTGCCCGGCGGAGGGCGAGGGCGAGCCGGGGGCGGCGGCGGCGGCGGCGGAGGGGGGCCCGGCGGCGGAGCTGGAGTGCCCCCTGTGCCTGGTGCGGCAGCCGGCGGGCAACGCGCCTCGCCTGCTCTCCTGCCCGCACCGCTCGTGCCGCGCCTGCCTCCGGCAGTACCTGCGCATCGAGATCACCGAGTCGCGGGTCAACATCAGCTGCCCCGAGTGCAGCGAGCGGCTCAACCCGGCCGACATCCGCCTGCTGCTGCGCGACTCGCCCCAGCTGGTGGCCAAGTACGAGGAGTTCATGCTCCGGCGCTGCCTGGCCGCCGACCCGGACTGCCGCTGGTGCCCGGCCCCGGACTGCGGGTGAGGCTGCCTCCCGGCGGGGGGAGGGACCGCGGGGGCTCCCGGGCTCTCCGAGCGGGGCTTCCTGGGGGGGGCGCGGGGCGCCTGCGCTTCCCTGGCTTAGCCCGTCCCTCGCCATCTGCGGGGGGGCGGTCAGAGTCCTCCGTCCCTTTTGCAGGCTCCGGGGCGGGACAGCGCCCGCTTTCCAGAGCAGTTCAGTCCTTGAACCGAAACCTGGGGATTTCTGAGAAGTTTTATTACTGTGACTCTGTTTTATCTCCCTGCCAAAAAGGGGTAGCTACTCTTGTGTCAGTGAAGAGATACACAAGAGTTACTGTTTCTGGGTCCCGTAGGAGGACAGAAGTACCGGAGCTCCTTACACCCCGGGCTTTCCCTTCTCGCTCTTTGAAGGCTAAGGCGGGGGAGGGGGGGGCTAATGATAATGCTCCTGGTTCTTTTGCCTGACACAATTATTGTCGAGGTGTGTCCTGTATACCGTCACGGTGTCCAAGCGCTGACATGTCAGTGTATATGTTCTCAGTGGTTTCCCCCAATATCTGTCACTAAGGGTCAGAAATTCTCTCTAGGTTCCTTAATGCGACCTATTTAAAATAGTTACAATTTTCAAAGGGTTCTGTTTATTTGAAAGTTTTATCATTAGATATATGAGATGTAGTGATTTATATATAAAGCTGGTTTGTCACTTTGGGTGGTATTTAATTGGAGGAAAGATAGGTATATCAAGTGAGTCTTCATAGTTGCTGAGATCAACCTAGGTTAGCTACTGTAAGTAAGATAAATCTCTTAAGAGATTTCATTATGGCAGCTTACTTCATCCTGGTGCCTATGATTTAAGTTGTTGAGGGGACTAAATGGAATTTCTAGGTACAGTTTCAGTACTACCATAAACAGACTAGGTAAGTGTGGAATGATGTTTTAAGAGAAAGGTTGGGAAACTGCTGGTAACTAATGCCGGGTGATACTGTCTAATCATCCCAAATATTTTTATGATTTAATCTTGGACAGCAAAGCCTATCCTAGAGGAATTGGTGGACTATGAATGTGGTGTGGGATAAGAGTGGACAAACTTTTTTTTGGGGGGGGGAGATAAGTGAGAATTTCAGTGGATAGGGTAAAGATGCCAAATGGTTGTGAGCATGTCCTGGTTTTTGCGAGTTTGATTTCCCACCCTGCTTTGCTTTTAACATGCTTAGTTAATGTTAATTTATCTCTGGATTTGGTATGCCCATCTTCAAAATGGCAGGACATGAAGCAATTACTATAGAAGGAAGGATCTGAAAAGAGGGTGGGCTGTGGATTCTGGTTCCAAGTAAAACCTCTCGTGTAAAACCTAGTGCTTTCTTGTATTTTTGAATTACTTTTGAACAAGCTCTTGCTCAAATTAGTTTGTTGGTAAAAATAGGTTTTATGGGGATTTTGAATTCTAGTGAAGAAATGTATAAAATTGATGGTTTAGAAGTGAAAGTGGAGGCCATGAGTTCTGGTCTCACTTTGGGCATGAAGCCAGCTGGATGACTTTATGCCAGTCCCATTCTCTCAGTCCAGGGAAGAAGGCGAGGGCATACCATTCTGAAAATGTTGCTGACTAAACAGGGGTCCTGTTTAGTCCGGGACAGGGGCCATTCCTCTGTCCTAGTTCTTTTGGACCTCTCAGCGGCTTTTGATACTGTGGACCACGGTATCATGCTGCGGCGTCTGGTGGAGTTGGGAGTGGGGGGCACCGTTATGCGGTGGTTCTCCTCCTTCCTCACCGACCGCACGCAGTCTGTATTGGCAGGGGGACAGAGGTCGACCCCAAGGCCCCTAACTTGTGGGGTGCCACAAGGGTCGGTCCTCTCCCCCCTATTGTTCAATATTTATGTGAAGCCGCTGGGTGAGATCATCCGTGGCTTTGGGGTGGATTTCCATCAGTACG